TCAATGTCACAGCCCAGAATAGCATTCTTATAAACTATTAGATGATCAAACCGTTTAAGGCCGTATACGTATCTAGTACTACAGTTTACTACAGCTCTCAATTTAGCAAGGGACTCACAGTCAAGTTTAGAGTACACCAACGCGGCATAAGTAATTATAGGCATTATCAGTTCTTTGACCAATAAGCCACGCACATCGACTGGGGTATACTTAGTAGATAAATTTAAATATCTGAGGCAAATAAATAAATTCCTAACGACGTGATTGACATGATCAGAGGCAAGTAACTATGAATTCAAATAAAATCCTAGACATTTAACTGATGTACTATATTTAATAATTGAGTTTCCAATAGCCACCGAAGGTAATTCGTCTAAATTTAATTCTAACCTAGTAATCGGCAAAATGACGGTTTTATCTGCGTTTAGAAGCATATTGTTTTCAACTGCCCAACGATTGGCTTATTGGCCGACCGATACCAGTAACACTCCTGATTTGATCGATTTTGGTGTCATTAAGGGTTTGAATAAGGATTATATCTCTGCTGACAAATATTTCCGAAGGTCAACACTATAATATTAAAACATTTGTCAACTGGCGTAACTTTAATAGAGAAGTTGAAAGAAGTCTTCCAGAAATTTCTGCACCCCGTCACACCGATAAAATTGAGCACGCTGTCGATATATTTAACAAAACTCTAATTGATGCGGCCGCTGAGTCTACTATTATCCAACAGGACCATGTAAAAAGAACAATTTTTCCATCGACCTTAAATGGGCTTATCTCTGCTAAACGTAATGCGAGACGAGATTGGCAAAGATACCGTTCTCCCAGATCTAAACTCAGCCTCTATGTAGCGACTACAGCCCTGAAAAAAGCCCTTGATGAGGAAAGAAACAATTCAATACAAAACTATTTAGAAAGCCTTGGCTCTCAAAAAGAGCATAATTATTCCCTATGGAAAGCTGCAAAGAAATGTAAAGCCCCAATTAAAAGAGAACCTCCTATACACAAACAAGATGGCTCTTGGGCTCGTAGCGATGAAGAAAAAGGAACTACTCTGGCATTACAACTACAGAATGTTTTCCAACCAAATCCCCAAATCAATGATTTCCAGCCTAACATATCTATCTAAGCTGACATACAAAACCCTCCAATTATAGAGCTTTCGGAATTGAAAGAAGTTTATTGAATCCAAAAGATGTCAATTCAATCTTAAATATAGAGAATTGTACTGGTTTCTAAATTGCAACTCTAAACTCAGTCTCGATAAGAAATTGTTAATTTATAAATCAATATTAAAGCCGATTTGGACTAATGGTATTAAACTGTGGTGTTCAGCGAGCAATACAAATATAGAAAAAATCCAGAGAGTACAAAATAAAATTCTCCGACAAGCTACGTGCGCCCCGTGGTACGTCAAAAACAAGAACCTACACAAAGATCTTAATTTACCAACTGTTGAAGAAGTTATTCGTCAATACATACCTAAATTTCGAGAGAGACTCAAGTCGCATCCAAATCCTCATGTTCGATACTTATCTTCTGCAACTGCACCAAATCGTCTTAAAAGAAAATCCTTGATAAATATGAATTCTCTAGCTCAATAGCATACATTTTAGTTTGTTAAGATTTGCAAAATTATTGTCAATTTCCATTTTAGAAAGATTCAATAAATAATCAGGTTAAAAAAAAAAAAACTGTCCAACGATGTATGCATATTAAATCTATATTAATTTTTGTGACAAGGTCATTTAAGTTAACACTCCGACATGAATGATACATTTGTATATCATCAGCATACCCATGTAGCCTCGAAAATTGACAAACTGAGAAAACGTCATTAATATAGATCGAAAATAGCAATGGCCTTGAGGCCAAAATCGAGCCTTGAGGAACCCCAGAAAACAGATGTTCAAAATTTGAAAATTTATTCTCAATAACTACTGACTGAGATCTCTGTGTTAAATAACTAAAAATAAATTTAGAAGCGAAACTTATTTATAAGATTTTAACAGAGCAAAGCGTGATCAACTCGATCAAATGCTTTTGAAAAATCGAGAAGACATAAGTAAGTAACCAAATCACTATCATAACTCACTCTAATATCTTCTAGGACTTTCGGCATAGCAGACGCACAACTAAGACCTTTTCTGAAACCAGATTGATAAGGAGATAGCAGATGGAAAATGTTTAGATGACTACGAATCTTATAATTCGTAGTCATCTTATAACTTTAGCTTGGTACCATACCACTGGAATAGTAGAGGTAGTACTACAAAAGTTTATAATATGAGTTTATGGAGATATTATGATTGGTAAAATAAGCTTTATGAATTTAAGATGAATTTCATCTAAAAACAATATCTTCACTGACGCAGTAAAAGCTAAAGCCTTCATTACCGTCAACAAAATCCATATCTAGGAACACTGAAGAAGAGTTACCATTATCATCTACAGAAGAAACAAAGAAGTTATTTAGAGCATTTGACTCCATATTATATATATTTTTACTTTTTCTTGTAATCCCAAGCATTTTGATATTATTCCAAAGGGTTTTAGTAGATTTAGTACAACCAAGCTTAGATTCATAGTAATCTGACTTAGCTTTATGAACAGTTCTAGCAACTACATTTTTAGCAATTCTAAACTTCATCCAGTTAAATTCAGTAGGATACTTTTTCCATACTGCATATTTTCTATTTCTTAAATTTATAAAACGTTTTATTCTAGCATTAAACCATGGGCAAGAAATATTATTGACGGTTATAGTACGAAAAGGTACATAGCAATGACGAAGGCTAAGCAATTTCTTATTGCATGCATCTAACTTTTGATCAGCTGAAATAACAGACCAACATTCATTCCATTCAGTTGAATTAAGTTTAGAAAATATATATAATCCCACTGAATCAATTAACTTATAATCCCAAAAAAAAAATCTAGTTGAGATAGATTTATTAATTTTCTTAAAGTCTAACGTAACAAATAGTAGGTCGTGATCTGAAACAAATAAAATCTGATCAAACAACAATAATTTGCTACATGCTTATATCAGAAACTGCGATTATGTCCAGAAGACTAGGCTTAACATTATTGGCATATCTAGTAGGTATGTTACCATTGACAATACTTAAGCCCGACATGGCAATAAGATCATTTAAACGGGAAACATTACCACAGTTTGAGAGAAGATCATTATTGAAATCACCAAGTACTGCTAGGAAGTCAAAATTAAGCGCAATGGGTTTGTTGTGAATCATAAAATGGATCGCAACTAAAGCGCTTGTGTGAATTATACTTATACACACACCCAACCAATTTTTTCTCTTACTGATAATATTACTTTTGGTTTCATTGAAAACTTGTTTTTCACCATTGCTACGTACTCCTTTAACTTTAGTTCGACTACAGATTTTTGCTTCAAAAAGTATACTGTAGCGTACCTTGAAAAATTATCGATACATGTAAAAATTTATTTGTTACTACTTGGTGAAGCTGTTTGCATCGGTCCAAAAACAAGTGTATTTATTAAATCAAGAACTTTTTCGGATTTCTTTGATGCGAATTTTGGAAATGATAAACGAGTTGATTTTGACGTAAGAATAATTTCACAGGTTTCCTTAATATTGCAGAAGATAAGCAGTGGCGGAGCTAGACCAACTCTGCACGACGGCGACATCAGAATTGCGAGGTCCCCTTTATAACCCAGTTGTAAAAGTAAATAAGTTAAATTCACTAATACGACAAATCATGATTGAAAGTTTTATTGCTAATCAATTTAAAATAAACACAAATTAAAGTAAATGATTTTTCCTACCTTTAGCCTAACTCAATTCTTTTTAAAATTATATCATAATTTGCGCCAGCTGCTATTTTTGCTCCCATTTATAGAATTTCCAATGGAGATAGTCTCTCTTGGATCATCATACTTTTGTAGTACGTCTTAATCAATTTTAACTTTGAGAAGCTTCTTTCCGTCAAAGCTATACTGACTGGAACTGTGAACATGAATCTTGTTACTATATAAACATTCGGGAACACTTCGAATATGGTTAATGCCATTATCAAACAAAATTGTTCAAAATATTTATTAAGTACTTAGAATCCACAGTCGGTAACTTTCTGCGAGGCCCCTATGGGCGCGAGGCCGTCGGCGGTCGCCGACATCGCTGACGCCTAGCGACGCCACTGAAGATAAGAATATATAATAAAAAACAGTTAGCATGGTTGTACTATTTCTCCGACATAGATATAGTGTCGAATCCAGGCCCATAGCCAGAAATTTAATTCGATGGGGTTTTCAGATGAAATACTCTAGCGACTATACCATTCGGTCATGTCATGATGCATTAACAATGAATACATGTGTGTAAACATATAGTCCTGGCATTAATTTTGGACGGTTTAACTCCTGAATTCCGCCCTTAACTACGTGCCTGTGATAATCATACTGAAAAGTGATTTTTTACAAAAACAAACATTAACCCTGTGAAAATAATAAACAAAAAACTAAAACGTACTTTTTAGAGTTTATACCTATATTATTAAACTTCCAATGATTAATTTAATTAACTTCACATTTTTGATTTTTGTTGATATATAAATAGATATTATATAAAATTATTTAATATATAAATAATTTTTGCTTAATAGGAAATAACAGATATCCTTGCAAGTAAGTTTGTAAGTAAGTTTTTTAAATTTTTTAACCAATGAGCGCGAAGGGTGGAGCTTGTGGTATATAAGAAATATCTTGAAATATATCATATTTGTGTATAAATATGGCATTCAAGGATACAATAAATAACTTCCCTCACAACCTTTATTCCCATCAAAACAGTACACGTAACGAGCTCACGTAACGAGTTTGCGTATTTTAAGAAGTTATTTAATAATTTATTGCAACATTTTGGATTGTTTCAAGAACGAAAATGTTTTTTAAAGTTAGTTTCATTTTGTTACGCAGTAGTAACAACAGCTTTTATTCTATTATCCTTATGGACATTAAGTCAGGATCTTCGTTTGTTGAAGTTGATAATAAAGTAACGATATGTTCGCTGAAAAAACCACGGACTAACCTTCATAAATCAGTAAAGCAAAGAGATTCAGCAACACCGAAAATATCGAATCGTATACCAAAATGTGCACGCTGCAGAAATCATGGAATTATTTCTGAATTACGAGGCCACAAGAAAGTGTGTACTTATAAAAGCTGCAAGTGTCCAAAATGTGTACTTATATTTGAAAGGCAACGAATTATGGCCGCACAGGTAAATAACAGTTTATTAATTGTAATTTGTTAGATCTAGACGACTAGATCTATGATATTCTAGATGACATAATTCGAGATGGCATTTTCAGGATGTAAACATTTTCTTTACGAAGCAAAGAACTTAACCATCGGAATTTTAATTTCATAATCATGATATTCACAGGATTTTATGCGATCACAATAGGACCTGGCACTTATTAATAAGTGTTATGGCGAATACTACTTTTTTCACCATTTAACCTTATTCCATTTTTAAACTTGTATTGTTTGAATATATTTTCCGTTTCAGTTTTAAACTTAACATATAAACTGTTTTCATAAAAGTCCGTCTTTGAATGAATCATGAATTCTATAAAAATATAACCTTAAATATAGCTTATACAGTTAACATAGTTGATTAGGAAATTGTGTTTCCAGATAAGTGAATCTGCGATGGTTTGCTGGTTTTAGTAGCTGCTAAGGTTTTTTTTCTACTCAAGTAACGCGCCGTAAGGCGCCGTTTTAATGTCACAATCGTTTTGTGAAAAATCTAAGATCTGAAAACAATTTGTGCTTTTTATAAAGAGAATATTTTTTAAAGAACTGAATTTGACATTTCCGCCAGACTCATTAGTTGGTAGACTTCCATAGTGGAGTGATTAGCTAGTTCATCTATTATTGCGTTTCCTTGCATTCTTTGATGCCTTGGCTCATATAAGAATGATATTGTACACTGCTTACTCAATGACCTCAGTTGAGTAATGGTCTATTTTAATTGCTTTGATTTCGTACTATAGTTAGACAACTCAAAAATAGCAGCAGTGTCTGTCTCCTTAATAGAACATTGCAGCTGAGAGGACTCTAATCGAACTCGCACGGTATAAGAATCTCGTCATACCTTTTTCAGCTTAAAAGATTCTAACGTTCACACCATATTCTTAATTTGAACCATCCGTGATGATATGGTATTCTCAATTAACTATGTTAAATCCATTTTTTGGTTAAGGATTTGATGGGAACATTCTTTGAAATGATTTTTAGAACACATTTGTGAGCCAGGTAGACCCTGCTTACTGTCAGTTCATGTGGTAGGATCGCAAAAATGGAGCTATGCCCCTTCGTTTTGGGATTCCAGAATCCACTCTCTTGCAGTCTAAGTGTCAACAGTACGACACTACTCTTTTAATCTGTAATTCTATAACCAACAACTGGATAATAGCTGCTCGAGTTAATTAATGTCATTGCTAACATAGTATTGATTTTTATTCGTTTCGATTCATTCGATTCAGTAGAATTTTGTAACTTTTTATGACTTTTTATTTATCATATATCTATTGCACATCTTAACATATGTAAACTTCTTATCAAATAACCAATATTTTCCGAATTTTTTCCGATTTAATCTTATGACAATGAAGTTGTTAGTTGACAATGAAAAATATACAAAATTGTATTAAAATTAAAATTTTAACATAACGTAACGAAATTAATTAACATAGACATCTTCTCGTTTTACTTGAATAAATAATTTCCATTGTTTGGCTCATTATATCATAAAACTAGTATTTATTTGCTACAAGAACTCCAAAAAACCTAAGACCAAAAATCCTAAAACCTAAGGAAAGCAATGATGAATATTGTCAACCAATCAATCGAGCGTTCATTTGTTTACACAAGTGTTCCTTCCGTTGCTAAATGCCAGCAACAGCTCATATTACTTCAAGCGCATTAGCCAGCATTTCCAACTCCAAACTGCCATAAGAAACCCCAAACGTTTTGTTAGTATTGTTTGTTGTTACTATTCCCAAAGGATAATAGAATTTTCTCTTTATTGACAAAGGCTAAAAAGTTAATGTTGTGCATGTTATCAGATTTAGTTGCGGTTGTGTACAAGTATATCCGCCTCCGGGGGAGAATGTATGTAAACATATGAAATGTAAGCCAAATCAAACTGAGCCACTTGTAAATCACACTTGCCGTGCATATTAATTTCAATTCTACTGAAAATTGTTTATAATCCATTTATTTCTATTATTTTGCCCATTTTTTTTGGTTTTCATCGTGCAAACATTTAAGGTTGCCTTAAAGCGCCAGCAAGCTGTTGAAGATGCCATTGCTTTACGTTTAGTGGCCACAAAGACGGGCAAGCAAATAGATGCACTGCCACCTGGAAATATTTTTGGATTGACTGTAACAGAACCCATCAATAAACCAACTGCTCGGAGCTATGAAAGACAGGATAGGAGTGTCGCCGAAGACCTAAGTACTCACAGTGCAAACGATAGCGTTTGTTGCGCTGAGATTGAACTTTTAACAAGTGAGTTTTTCTTATGATATTTTTGTGAATTATATTTATTAAAAAAGAAATTTAATGAAAATAAGCTACTACTAATGCCACAACTACATCAACTTCAACATCTGCGAGTGAAACACCAACGACAGTGTCCCAAAATGCAATTGACATGTTGTCTCAATTGTTTCCACACCGTAAGAGGTCTGTACTTGAACTTGTGTTAAAGAGATGCGACCTCGATTTGATACGTGCTATTGAGAACGTATCGCCAAGGACAACCGCAACAGAAACAACAGTAACTCCACACTTCACTACAATAAAAAGTGCTTTTAGGCCCGTATCATCCGAAAAGGTGAGTTCATTGCAATGTTTTTTTTTTTAAGTGAGACCCTTTGCGATAAAAAAACTTGAACCCAAGCATAAAAATTCTGCTATCGCATAAACTAATATATCATTAAGGCTACAAAACAACTGATTTGTCCCAATCTTAAATTTGTTCCATAACTGTTTTATTTTGACGCGCATAATTACGTATGTGAACTACCATAAATCTGATAGAAGGAATACACTACACACTACACCAAAGTTTCTTTTTTAAGTTTTTTACTAAATTTATTAAGAAAAAGCATTAAATCAGAATATTGTTTAATAAATTTTACAAATTTTTGTGTAGTATGACAATTATTATATATCGGAAAACGAAATAATATACGTAGTTTGTAAATTTATAGACCAAAAATTTAATTATTAATCAAGTGAATTATTTAAATTTGACAAATATCCATCAAATACCTTGGTCCATTCTATCACGTCTCCTAGTTTATTTGTTCGAATATAATTTTTTGGACTCCAAGCTACAAGAAATAAATCCTATCAAATTTAAGTATCACAATAAGTGAAGCTTGGGTATTGAAATTATTTCCGCACTAGGCGATTGCTTAATTCGAATCGTACTAAGATTCTGTTGAAATATCGTATTCCTCGCTATCATTGACTGGGTTTTACTTTTAGAGTACCATATATGTAGCACGCATTTCATTTTGTAGAATTTTATGCCAACCCCAGCAAGGCAATATTATAGGTCTGTTCCAGGAGGTACTCGTAGTAACTTTAAGTAACACTGTGTATACACAAGTGCGTTCCACCAGCAAATTTTCAAGTAGATGAGAGCACCTCGGAGAGCTTAACATCCCTGCCGAAATTTGAAAATGCTACAGAGTCTTTACTCCTACATTTTATTCCAAGTAAAATTTGTGTTGATGTGTGAATCAACTGTTTTGGTTTGAATTTGAATTTTTGTATTGTTTATTTGCGCGGCACTGGTATTCTCGCCAGCTTTTACTAAAAGCTGTTCTATGAAAATTTGTGTAAAGACTGTAATTTAGCACTTTATTTGTGCTACGCTCGCAGTTTGTGTTTTACTTGTGTTTTACTTGCGTTTTACTATGAGTAGCTCGTTGAGCAGACTTTAAATGAGTTTATGGCAACAGGACTGACTTGGCAAACCTTCTAACCATCTGGTTGTCATTTTCGTAAAACTGATACCATGGCAATCCTAAAATAAGAATGACATCATCCGGTATGTAAATAGAAAAAGAATGTCCTTGTATTCTTGAATAGTTTATATTATTGTATTTGTTTGTATTATATAAAATAGTCGAACAAAACAAGTAAAGTGGTGACCTCGACGTGAACTAGTGACCTCGAACTGTTGCTAGTAATTCTATCCACGATTCTGTCTCGTGACACTTAAATGTTACATTTAAAGAACGATGCCAACGTTCTATAATACCGTTCGCTTGTGGGTGGTATACCATGCTATGGATGTCTTTTAACCCTATGAAACATTGAAAAGCGATCGATCATTCTTTAACAATAGCGGTTGACATCACAATCATGTCGATGTGTATATGGTCAAAATGGTTGTCTGGCAAATCGATTTTAAATGGCCGAAAAGCATTATGTCTGTGTATTTTTGCTTTGTAAACAGTTTCGAGCCCATTTAATTACATCATAAGCAATTATTTGTAGCTTTAAAGATGTTTTCCCTTGCAACAGTGTCCTAAATTCGTGATCCATTAGCAACATCAGATGCATCACAGATTAGTGCTAGTTCGGTATCAGGTGATGGATACGCAAGTAGTGCAGCATTCGTAACGCTATGTTTACAAATATTAAACGCTTTAAGAGTTTCGGATGTCCAAGAGATTTTCCGTTTGTCATTCTTTTTTATGTTTCGTAAGAAGGCACGAAACAGTTGTGTCTGGTGCTGCGATTAGTGCGACCGATACCCGTAACACACCACCGAAATAATGCTATATATACTAAAAAATCTCTACAACTGTCCGCACGTCCTATTTAGGACAGATGCTGTTCCACGTCCTTTGAAATCACCATACTCTGGACCATACAAGATACTCAGTGGATCAACTGATCGTACATTTGGTATTGATATGAAGGGCAAAGAAACCACTGTTTCAGCAGAAAGACTTAAACCTGGTTTTATTACTAAAGAAGAAAATGTAAAAGAAGTTAAGGAAAATCTGCGCACAAATTCATAGAAAGGTCGAGTGAAGTTTTCGCAATAATAGACAGTACTTGGTAACCCTTCCAACTGTCTGGTTGTCATTTTCGCAAAACTGATACCAATGCAACCCAAAAAAAAGAGTGACATTACGTGGTTGTATTCCTAATAGTTTATACAGTATAATTCGCTTAGTAGGCTCGATGCTTAGCTGCATCGATAAGACAGTTGACTTAAATTATATTTACTTCTACATTTATGGTTTTATTTGTATGAAAATAATTGCGTTTACTGTATCCAAATTAGCTGTCTGTTGCACTTAAGTGCCTCGTATTGGCAGAATTGAAATGCCATTTTCTATGAATGTCGTCCAACTTAGCTGCGCCACCTAGAAAACGAATTTGCAAACAATTTTATTAATATTAAAAATAATTTTGTGATGAAAGGCACATTATTTTAGGCAGACTATTAAAATTACGTTAGCTGGCCCTTAAGATAGCTGCCTCCAAAATCTCTGCAAACGACTCGAGATAGAAACAAACAAAAGTTCATATTTTTCTTTCTGTATTATAGCCTATACCAAAATTGAGTCTCATTTTCCATATGTGCTTGTACGGAGTTACCGTATATACCCATTTCCCACCCAAAGTTAAGCACATATACATAAACGATAACAATAAAACACGGTTATTATTATCTTTGTCAGTTTCATCGTTTATTTTAATGTTCAATTCATTATATTCAATATTATCCAATCTTATTACTTCCTCTGCTGTATACTGGAAGTCACCGCCCTATTTAGCTTATAAAGTGATCATCAATAAAATTTTTATCAATCCATTCTTTCTGTAATATAATCAATGCGATGTTTTTTTTTTAATTTCAAAGTATTGTTTTAAATGTAGCAAAATATATGTGAGATTAAGAATAGGAATGGTATTAAATTTTTTTTTAAAAGTATAAGAATATATAAGAGTCGATCATATCGTCACTTTTCACCCTTCTACTTCCCCATTTATTTATGCTAATAAGCAGAGATTAACGGGCCACGGTTGTGTTTATTAAAATATATTTTTAAATTAAAAAAAGCCGGAAATATTTACTAACTAAAGAGTAATTAATTCATACACGCATGTATATAAAATAAAAAGTTAACGCTTTTACTTCACTTCCGCCTAAAGTCAGAGAACTACAATCCTACAATATTTAAATATCCGTACGTTATTACAGGCAAGCGCCAAAGAGCTGGTTAACAGCACCAAGAACCTAAAAAAAACCCAAATAAAAAAAAATAAGTAAAGAATATAATAAAGATATTTATATAAAAAATGTATCTAATAAACATTTTCATTATAAAATTAAAATTGAAGTGTTTACAATGACCGTAAAAAATTTCTTCCTTATTGCAGTATCCAACTTTAGAACACAAAATGAGCTCTTTCACTACGACAACAACTCAACATATTGGTACTGGTACAACAACTGCAATATGTGCTTATCCTAAATGGATAGTGCCGCTATCATTTCCAGTTATGAGTCATCTATCAAATTTAGCACCCCGATGTACTTTGCCTAATTGTAACTGCATGGAGAGCTATCAGTTTAATTAAATTAAAATAATTTAAAATTAATTAAATTATATAAAAAGTTAAAAATATATATTGTTTAATATTTTTTTATTTTAGAGGTTACAGAGGTTATTTTTATATAAATCCATTAAAAGTAAATTCACGCTAAACAAACTTACAAACTAAAGCTTAATACACTCAAGACGAGATAAGGAGAAAATTAATCTCTGATCTCAATTATGTTTTAAAAAACTAACAGAATTTATAAACTAAAACAATTCATTGAATTTTTAGCTTGTCAAGAACTGATGGGAGGTTTCCAATCTTTATTTTAGAAATAATCTTATTTGTAAGCTGGCATTAGGATACAACCCAGCATCATCAAGTAGAACAAAATTACAATTTAATCACAAGCAGAAAGAAGATTCCATAGCTTTAAAGTGTCATTTACTTTGTCATCGAGTATAATAAAACTGCTGAAGAAACTCTCAGAAATGTACGTAAGTATTAATGGTGTTCAAAAATCGAATCAGTGCAACTCCTTGAAATGTGACCTAAACACTTTCAAGTGTTACGTACATCATAATTATTCTTCTCATTCTAATAATTCGTAGCTTTAATTAAATGAGCGAAACAAACCCATTTATGACCATTAGGAAAATACTCAAATATACTTTATAGTCGGCTTATACCCGACTAAATAAAGTTGTGTATATTTCAATGTGGAGGGGAGAAAATATGATCATAAATTTGATAATTCGGTTTGTAAACTTGACGTGAACAGATTTATACTGGTTAAGTTTTATTTTCCACTTATCAGCCCAAGCAATAATGTCATTGACAGAAGATTGCAGATGCCTGGCTGCTGTTAGTTCACCATCTCCAATCGCAAGGACAGCTGTATCCTCCGCGAACGTCGCTGTAAACGTTGCTGAGCTCGTTGGCAAATCATGTGTGTAAATTAAATATAACAGAGGACCAAGTACACTGCCTTGGGGTACCCCAGCGTTGATTTTTTGGAGTCCACTGTAATCGTTTCCATGCTTAACACGGAAGTAACGATTGGACAAGTAAGAAGAAACCATATCGAAATACTTCAACGGAAAAATGTCTTTTATTTTCGTTAGTAGACCTGTATGCCAAACTTCGTCGAAAGTCTGGGATACGTCTAAGAATACTGCTGAACAGGCTTTCTTTTCCTCAAGAGCGGTTTCGATTACGTTGGTGATTCTGTGGATTCTGTCGTGTGATTACACCTGAATCCAAATTGATGCATTAGAATGGTCTGCTGTTGTTCAACAAGCAAAGTTGCTTGTATTTTTAAATTTAAATATATAAATTTATGTTAAATATATTCCTCCCTTTTATTAACGCTTTGCTTTAGTAACAGTCTACTCAAACGGTAAACTTAATCCTTATTAACTGCTGATCTGGATTGAGTTGTTGCTTAGCAAAGTAGATTTTAGACAAAACAGTTTTATTTTTCTAATTTATATATCTATATGATTAGATAGATCTCATAAAATTCAACGTGCGCGCTATTCTGGAATCTGGAATTATTGTGGAAATAGGTTAAAAAGTAAAAACTTAATTAATATGCAAATCAAATAAATATACAACAGATTTTTTGCAAAAATAACTTAACTTAAATAAGCAACTACAATATAAATTTCTTAGCGATAAGCCCTTTCCATCATAATCTAATTACGTCTGATTATGAAACCTCTGATCTAATAAACAAATGAAAAATATATGTACACCAATAAAAACTAATAAAATTCTAACAATAATAATGAAATCAATTAATTTAACAACTAATCACTGTCATTACTAACAAAATACCAACGCGATTGTACTTTACTCCACTTTAAATCTATAAATGATATCGCCGATATTGTTATTGTTAAGTACAACTTTTATAAAATTATTGCTAATAGCAGTAGCAATACCAGTACACGCTCATTCATTATATATTATGTGGAACTGACTATCTTAACTAAAAGTATACCTTATGAAATGACAACAACAACAACAACAACAACAACAACCGAAATGAATTAATTAAAAACTAAATAAATGAACTTAATATGTTAACTGACACTTTAAATTATTAGCAATTATCAGAGACAAACAATGTGATATTACTTTAGTATTGAGTATAAATTCACCAATTTTGGACTCTGATAAGACCCAAAAATATGATATAAGCATATAAAGGAAAATTCCTTTTTCTTTTTCTTTATTTTTATTAATTTATTTTATTCATATCAGGCATTTGTAGTACAATATCCAAATTTATTATCAAACCACAATACCAATAACAACAGAAACAACAACAACAATAACAATAATAGTTACAGCTCAGAGAATGAATAAATGAATATTTATGAAATATTGAATAAATCGCATATATTGAATTATTTATTAGAAGTCACATTTTATCACCCTTTTGAAATGACAAAATAGTAAAGTAATCCATCAAAGTAGGCTTAATAAATTAAAACCAAATGAAACTTATTTGGAAGCTATTGACTGGAGATAGCTAAAAATATCACAGTTTTCGTGATGATATATATAGAGGCTTTTAATACTAGCCTTAAAAATAATTAATATTGTTGTACAATAGATATCATATACTTGTATGTTAAATACACATATATATTATATTTTTTAAATATCTATTTTCATATATCTTTGTTCGTATTACAATAACAATCCAATTACCTATCTTTAATATAGATTATTGTACAATAAAACGTTTTGATTTCAAAATGTTAGAAAGTTATGGTATCCTTAAAAAGTTGACAAAATTTAAAGTTTTAAGAAAAAATGACACCTCTATTTTCCACTATTTTAAACCCCATCTATTAATTGTTCTCGACATACGAGTATCTAAAACACATAGAGAGCAATACATACATTTGTTTAACAGTTCAGAGCAAATTTATAGAAAGAATAACACGATTTTCCAACATAAGGAGCAACGTAATGAAAATGATGAAATTGATTATGACCTTTTCCAAGTCGTCACATACTTCACAAATCAAGGTACAGGTATATAGAGTGATAACTATGCAAAAGTATGAAATAGATCGTAATCAAAGTGTTAAAAGAATATACTTCTTGGCACTGAGTTCTGTTAAATAGAGACTAGTATCTTGAAGCGTGAACTTTTTATTTGCATTAATATAGTTGTTCTAGTATTATGCTTCTTGAGACGTTGCTGATACCAGAATCTGGTAAGGATAGTATATTGAATGTCTGAGGAAAGCACATTATTAAACTGACAGAAAATAACAACGTTCTTGGTATTTGTTAAATACTGAAGATTAAATTGGATTGGATCAGTAGTTATTTGCTTCAATAAAAGAAAATTTTACATTTTTGTCGAGTTTTCGTCATTCTCGCCGTAAGAGTTTAATAAATGTTGCTATAAAGCTGATGAATATATATTAATGAGAAATAAGTAGAGTGCTGAAAGTAAGGAATAACAGTTGTAAATTGTGAATCTGCATATATTAATTTATACTGCTAATTATATTGTGCGGTATATTAAAGAAAATAATTCAGAGGACTGAGTTCCAGTCAGTTGATGAATGCCTACTTGAGACAACGATGATGTAGTGATTATTAGTTTTTTAACCTTATATTATTATCGCAGCTTATCGGGAAATACGTAATGAATTAAAATTGTTTAATTAAAAACAGATTTGAAAAGTATTAATATCAAGAATTAGAAAACAGAAAGTTAAAATTTAAACAGAAAATAAGAACTTTCAATATTTATTATTATATAAAAATTATTTTAAGTTATATGATTTACCCATATATTAGTAAGGTATGTTTCTAAAATAGATAGATTTGAGTTGCAAAAGAAATATGTTCATACACGAGGCTCATCTGATCAAAATGAGAGCCAACATCTTTTTAATCCCAGTTGGTAGTGTCACAGTATATTGCATTATAGGTAAACGCACTTAGAAAACGAATCTTATATTCAATTATTACTATTTAATTCCTTTGGTGATAAGAAGGACCAAACTACGAAACACCTTCTTTGTACCTGCTGAACTGTAAGCGTGCAATATCACTCTAATATAATATTAGTATTAAATGAAATTAAACTTTCTCGTTACCAACGTTCCTCAGTAAAGGACTCTACAAATTATAGCATCGATAAAACGCTTCAACTATCCTACTTATCCCATTGGTATTGCAATAAGTCACTTTAGCCTAAGTTTGTCAATATCTGAATAATGGAAATCGACAGCCATATGCGCCCACATACATCAAAAAGTTTCTTCGATAACCAATCTCCTATAGTTCTCCTATAGAAGTTTAAAAGTATGCAATATATACGTTTCTGCATAAATATGCATTCGGTATACTATTTTTTTGTGTTATATTATTTATTCAATCTTTTCATTGGAAACTGAAAATAAATATTTCCAGAACCACAGTACAAACAAAAATAGAGTTATCATAAATTTGTTGCAATGTAATAAACAGGCTTATATATATAGATTCATTATATTATTTGAACAATTATAACAATATTAATGTTACAATATTTACAATAATGTTAACAAATAGTAAAAAAGGCATAATAACTTCTGCGTTCTGATCTAGTCGTAAAAGGGTCCTTTTTTTTTAATCTCTTTGGATTGTGTCTTATTCAGAGTTTTCTAGTTAGGTGATACGGATGTATTAATGATCTGAATATATAATTATTGCCTAATTTTTCCTTTTCCTCCTTGATCTTATTGACTCTTTGATCTTATACTCTCTAACGTTTTTGATTGCAATGTTTTAATTTTGTCTAGAATTGAATTAGAAGCAGTACATCATAGCTGCATCGTATGAGTCCAAAACGCTTTTATCATTGCATTAAATAAAAACATTTTATTATCTTGTCTAAGTTTTGATTGAACACCAATATACCATTAAAATTATTATGATATGTGTACATATATAACTTCTATAATCAGTAGCGAGGCGTCAGCTTTTTGGCAAGGTGTTCACAATTTGAACAAAACAGAATTCCAACTATAACGTATTCCCTTTACTTCTAAGTTTTGTCCTTTCCACAAGCAAATAGCATTTAAGACCAACAAACCAATTTATTTAAATGTTCGCAGCCAGTGATCCACTGGTTTTTATGGTAAATAGCTGTAGGAAAACGGCGACTTACCACCGATTTCGACATTTTTACATCAGGTACCAAATTCTTCATATCTGGAGTTGGTGTATTTATTTTATGAAATAAAATCTTTTTTTCAGAAGATCGTTTAAAAAAAAGATATTTGAATCAAATCTTTAATTACACATACCATATATCCATTTTAAATATTATTTTTCACTTCAAATTTCTTTAATTTTTTTCTTTACTTTTACCATTTGCTAGTATAAAATTGCAATAATGACTTTGTTTTTGGTTTATTTCCAACCTCTACATAAGAGTAAGAAACTTCATGCATTCATTTACTCTTTTACTTTATATTTACTATGAGCGGTTCAGTTTCTTTACTGAACCATTTGCCCATATAAAACGGCAACCGTGAGGTTCACTTTTTTTATTGAACCGCTTGCACGCATTAATTTAAATCCCAATGTGAATGTTGTTTCATTTGCATGCTTTGTAAGCAGCGCGGTGCAGTTTTTATTCTGAACCTTAGTATATTTTAAGAGGAATGTATTTTCTCTTTTATTAATTATAAGTAATGTTGGGTGTAACTAACATATGTATGTGTGGTTTTGTTTGTATTATATGTTTTGTGTTTATGTTAATATGTTTGGAAAAGCTATTATAAAAAATGTTAAGTAGCAAAATAGCGAGATTATTTACCTAATAAAAAGAAAGATCTACAAAGGAAGCTTTGTTAAGGTGTTCAGTGAACACTCTGAACCATTCGACGCCTCGCCTCTTTATATAATATAGTAAAAAATGGACATTTAATAAAATTTGTTGTCTTTACAATATACATACAATATGTCGGTACTTCGTAAAAGATTGAGCTCTTAGTAAAAGGACAGACATATTGCAATTAATTTGATGATAATTACAAACAGTTTGAATGTATCTATTATATAAGCACTTCTTTGTATATATCATGAAATATAATATGCAGTATAATATATAATCTAATGAAATTGAGAATTGTCTATTTATGAAGTAACTACATTTTATCGACCATTTTTGTTGTTGTTATATCTCGGAATGTTTACACCGTCAACAATAAATAAATCGTGGAAAATGTATAAATATAACATAATTTAACAGTAGCACTTCGAGTTACCGATAACGAGGTGATTAACAATTATACGATCAAAAGCACCGCACATTAACGCACACTCAAATCACAACACCAACCAATGACTTACGCTCGCATATCGACCAATTCCAATATACGATATTGAATATGACAACAAATAGATTTACTATGTATGAGCCTTATCACAACCCCAATTACTGCAACTACTCCTATGGGCACAATAACGTTTAGGTTCAGAACTAATACGAATATTTTGTATTTTGTATTTTGTATTTTGTATTGGAGACGGATGGCATAATGAATTGGTAACATTATCACGAAATGTACTCGTTCATTCTATTATGGAGTGAATGTGTGTTCTACGTTCAGCGTTCTGTGTTCTGTGTTCTGTGTTCAAATATTTTGGGTATTCAGGCTTTCAATATCAAATTAATCAAATGATATCTATTACCTGTACATTAATTTTTTTATTAATTTGAAGTGAAATCTGATTTAGTACAATTTATTAGCTGCGAACAATTAGTTCAGTTTAGTGTGGTCAATTGGAAATTAAACACGGCACGGAATTACGGTATTGCTAATATATCAAAAGTGCTCGAACGTAATGGAGTCTACTAGTGTGAAAGGTAGCAAATCGGCATTTTCAATTGATAACATATTAGACCAGAAAGTAACAGTACAAAAAAGTTATACAGAACCTAGCAGTAAGGAGCCCACACTGGCGAAGGTACCGGTTATAACACCAAGAACATATGAACAAGGACTAAGCACATCAAGTAGCCATGTTGCAGTACCTAAGGCTATCGCAGCCATATCTTCAGTCGATGCGGCTGCCTATAACATGTTGAAAAATTTGTCATTTAAAAATGAACATTCCAATAATAGTAGTAGTTTGCTTTCTCCTGCTGCAACATTACAGCGTTTCGACCCAGTCGTGTACGATCCTGCCTCATTATTTTATCAGCAAGTTCTGAATCTGCAAAAAAACTCAGCGCTATTTATGCCTCATTTCCAAGCCGCGGCAGCTGCGGCTTCGCTAACACCGTCGGCATATTGCGACCAATATAATCCATTTTTGGAATGTGACGGTAAGTAACATATCCTGAGAAAATATTAGCTGAACAAAATGATTTGCTAAACAGAGAATAAATACGTTCTTTTTGGAAATAAATTAAAAAAAGTTGCATGCTCTTTATGTATAATTAATATTTCATATAATATATCAGTCAGGTAGATTAGCTTGTCACGATTGGGGATGTTCTAATCGTTGCCATGTCGCTAAACTTCTGAATTTGAAATTATTTTCTAATACTTATGAAAGTTTTAATGAATAATACATAGTAAAGTATACTTCTATACATTTTTTATTTTTTTTATAGTGCAACTAGAAATATATTATATTCAATACATTCAAGTGTAGGGCAGAAGACTAGCGAAACCAAATATATACTGAGTTTTCCTCATTTTTTACAGACTATAATATAGTTATATGGCTACTTGTAGCTAAGAGATTCCTGGAAAACAGAATCATTTGCTAAAATAATTATAAAATAATTTATAGTTATTTATTCACGGTTCTTCTATGAGGCGTGTTAGTTCCTGTTCATACTGTTCAATGTTTCTTGAACTGATCTAAATCTGCTTCGGAGCAATCTAATTTCAAATATAGTAAAAGTGCTTACACTATTTTCCACTGTTCATCATATTGTACTAAATATTTCTACCGTCGGAACACTTTCGACACTTTAATAGAGTTCGGTTTAGTGAGTAACACTTCAAGATATTATGTATTATGATGTTGAACTCGCGAGCGATATAACCATGTTTTGTTTTGAATATTTATTTACATTTTATACCAACTTTGTTTATCTCCTATATTATTTCTGGAACAATTCAATTAGCGTAGAATAGTTGCACTGATTAATTATTATATTTTAATGATTTACCTCTACGTTTTTTAATAGCACGTAAAAGAATCTAACATTAAGTTAATAGCTAAGGTCGAAAATGAATCTCAATTATTATTTGAAAAAAGTCAGTTTGTTTGTCTTGAGGAGTAAAGTTAGTTTCTGTGAAATTTCTTACATCAACAAAGCGGTTTGGACTTCTTTACGATTTAAGCTGTACAAACCGTAAAAACTCTGCTAAAATTTAAACGCAGGCAATGAAGGTTATTTTATTTTTGCAGCTTGGGATATAACAAATACTTAAAACGTTATTCCTCTGCATCTTCGAAATCCGATCTGTGGTCTAGCAAGTACCTCCTAGATACTTCTGCAATTGTGTGTCGACGTACAATTTCAATTATTTTTAAAAGTCTAAAGCTTCAAGAGCCACTTAACTCAGACAACAGAATTTCTCAAGTGTTTTATTAGCTTTTTAATTTTAGTAATCTTCTCGGAGAAGTATGCAGACCTGAGGTCAATTATCGCTTAGTCTGATGAAGTGATAAACAATAATCTAGTCAAGGCGTAGAGAGGAGTTATGAAGAAACCTCGCAGTTAATAGAGAGTAAAAGTGCTCAAGTGCACTGATTCAACTAGCCTCAACTTAAACTAAGAATTTTAATATTTTTATATTTATGTATAGAGTTAATTTACAGAATGACATTTTTGAGTTATTGCCACTGATGTAAAAGAGTTCCGACATATATCATGTGGAAGTGAAGAAATGTTTCAATGAAATCGATTCCAAAAGTAATATGTAAATATCGTTAGCAGTAGCGAGGCGTCAGCTTTTTGGCAAGGTGTTCACAATTCAATCAAAACAGAATTCCAACTTTAACGTATTCCCCCTACTTCTAAGTTTTGTCCTTTCCACAAGCAAATAGCGTACAAGACCAATAAAACAATTTATTTAAATGTTCGCAGCCTGTGATCCACTGGTTTTTATTTACCATAAAGCTGTAGCTGTAGGAAAACGACGACTTACCATAGATTTCGACATTTTTACAACAGGTATCAAATTCTTCATATCTGGAGTTGGTTTATTCATTTTATGAATTAAAATCTTTTTTCAGAAGATCGTTTAAAAAAAGACATTGAATCAAATCTTTAATCACACATTTATCCATTTCTAAATATTATTTTTCACTTCCAATTTCTTTAATCTCTTTCTTTACTTTTACCATTTGCTAGTATAAAATTGCAATAATGACTTTGTTTTGATTTATTTCCAACCTCTATATAAGAGTAAGAAACTCTTATGCATTCATTTACTCTTTTACTTTGTATTTACTATGCCCGGTTCAGTTTTTATACTGAACCATTTCCCCATATAAAACAGCAACCGTGACTTTGATTGTATTTGCACGCTTTGTATAAACTTTTGGTTCAGTTTATTGGAATGATCCTCTCGTCAAATGTAAAGCGATTTTCGCTCAGTTATTTCTTTTCTCTTTTGTATTTACTTTGCATAACATTGGAAGTGCACTTTTTTATTGAACTGCTTGCACGCATTAATTTAAGAGTAAAGATTATTTTACGTACATATATTTGTTTGTATGTTTTGTGTTGTGTATTTAATATTGAACATAGTCCCAATGTGAATGTTATTTCATTTGCATGCTTTGTAAGCAACGCGGTGCAGTTTTAATTTTGAACCTTAGTATATTTTAAGAGGAATGTGTTTTCTCTTTTATTAATTGTAAGTAATGTTGGGTGTAACTAACACATGTGTGATTTTGTTTGTATTCTACGTTTTGTGTTTATGTTAATATGTTTGGAAAAGCTATTATAAAAAATGTTAAATAGCAAAATTATTAGATTATTTACCTAATAAAAAAAAATCTAAAAAGGAAGCTTTGTTAAGGTGTTCAGTGAACACTCTGAACCATTCGACGCCTCGCCTCTGATCGTTAGTTACACTGAAAGAAAAATATGTGATATTGAGAATTAAAATAATTTAGTTGCTTTTATAATTTATATAAATTAATAATAAAATTTGATTTGATATTATTAACTGGCGTCTGAGCAACGACCGGATTCAAAAGGCAACGATTTGTTCATATATAATATGAACAAATCGTTTCATGACAGAAGTTGTAGTTTATCACTACAATTTAAACCAAAAAACGTTTATTGCATTTTGAAGAAATTGTAAATTCTTTTAACGCAATTGTAGGTTAAAGATGAACATTTTAAAATGATTTTCGGATTAATATGATGCATATAAAATCTTTTTGCTTTACACTGTATTCTTGATTTTACCCAATACATCAGTTAATAACAGTTTTTAAAATTAATAATAAATAAATTAAATAAATAACATCCATTTGGCTCCTTAATGGATGGCAGAGCTGGTGCTGGGGTTTACTCGAAAGAGCTAAATCTAACGTGCACTCTACATCTAGGAATATATGTTTCCGTCTATCAAGCGGAACTTATGGCGGTCTCACATGCTCTGGATCACTTATTGGATTGTCAGATATATCAGAAAAAGATTCTGATAGCGCTGGACAACCAAGCAGTTATCAAAAGCATGCAAAAGACATACATAACTAACAGCTTAGTACAAGAATGTGTAACGAAGCTCATGGAATGTGCTCATGGAAATGAGATGACGATCATGTGGGTTAAAGGACACATCGGTATTGAGCAAAACGAGAAGGCAGATGAACTTGCAAAGCAAGGATCAAGCCATAATTTCTGTGGCCCGGAGCCCAGAATACCATTGGGGTACAGCATGACGGCAGCCTATGTCTATAAGTGGATAATCTCACTTCATCTTAATAGATGGAGAGAGTTGAGCACTTGTAGACAGACCAAACTCATGTTACCTAAACCGTGGGCCAGAGAAGCAATAAAGGTGCTTAGCTATTCGCGGAGCACCCTAAGCTGGCTGACCTCACTAATTACTGGACATGGCAACTTCAAGTATCACCTCAAAAAGATAACTCTTGCTGAGGAAGACACTTGCAGACTATGTCTAGAAGAAAGGAGACAGCGGTGCATATATTGTGCCAATGTCCAGCACTGGCAAGTAGGAGGAAGACTGTCTTGGGACACCATTGGGTTGGTGACGACTTGCCAGGAAACCTCAAGCTAAATGAGATGCTTGCATTAACAAAAGATGTAGTTATGCGAACGGAAGCCACTCCAGCTTTAACTCAATAACAACATCCGAGAATCGAAGGACGAAAAAGGACCCAAGTCGTTTCGTGGTCTACTTCAACTAATCCTTCACTTCAGTGGGCCACTTGTTGGACAGTGCGCTGTACCAACGTCCCACCATATAAAAATAAATAACAACAAATTATTAAATCCTGCACCCATTTGTTGATGTATAATACAATCAATACATCTAGACACATCTGTCAGTTTTAAGATTAAGCCTGGTCTTGGGTGGGATTTTCAAAATTGCAAGCCTTTCCAAAAAATAAGGTTTACGTTAATATATTGTTTTTTTGGAGTAGAATTTTCACATTATCATAATCTGGTTCGTGACTTTTAAATGCAATGTGAGGCAAGCGCTGTTTAGGCTTTCATTACGATCTTATTATTTTTATACTCTGTCCTATTTATGTTTGTGTCTAGCCATTTTTATTTTGAATTTATTTTTCATCGTTCCAACATATACCTGGTCGCATACGTTGTACCCGTCACCTCTGCAGTTGATTTGGTATATCACGTTTGATTTCTCTAAGTTTTTGATTTTATTTTCCATGTTGGATGTATGGTGTGTTCATTGTGTTTCCAAATCTTTGTGTGATGTGTGTCATTTGATATAAAAGTTTAGGTATATAAATCATAAAGATTTACTTTCATTGATTTTGTTATCCTTATTTCTAGTATTATCCTGATTCTTATTTGTGGAACATAATTCTTTTAATAAAGGGTTATTCTAAACACGGCATCCAATTTTATTAGAAGAGTTCTGATACTTAGTGATAATGTATTCCTAAATAAACAGAAAAATATACAATGCGTGACATTTTCAAAAAAAAAAATGTCTCCAGTTAAAATTATTAACACAATTGCAGGTCTTACCTGCAAAAATTTACACTTGATAAAGAATAATGACAAAAAGATATATGAAGTGCTTTTGAAAATCGAGAATATTGTTCTGGTGTCTTTTTAGATGTTGCACA